CATAAGAGTAATAAGAGTAATGGTGGGTTGAGATGGGGGAAAACACCCGACTCAAAGACCAACAGCAGAAGACATTTCATTTATGTTGATAAACCACTTCTGAGGAAGGGCAAATGGAACAAGCTAAGAAGGAAGTAACCTGCAAAGACAATCGGGATCTTCTTGCTAAGGACCTGATAAATGTCAGACATGAAAACAGAGGGTAGGAAGATCTGAATGAAAGACCAGTGACCAAGATTAATGTAGAAGGGATGGAGTGAGAGAAGAAGCAACATAGGGGAAGTACAGAGTTGAAATAGCAGAGTAAACCAGGGTTGTGCTGGCCGGTAAGGAGTAATCAGAAGAACCTGACACAAGAGTGGCATGGATGATCAAAGATATCGGGGAAAGAAGACGGATGGGAGGATAAACATAAAGGTATTGGTTGGTCCAATCTTGGCTGAATGCATCGACAACTAGGGCTGGTGGATGAGGAACCAGAGACCAAAAGAGGGGTCACTTGGAATTAAGGAAAGTGGCAAATGCATCCAGATGAGGAGTACCCCACTGTGAGCAGAGCCACTGGAAAACCTGAGGACTAAGGGACCGCTCAATGGGATAAATTTTGTCTGGTCTGGAAAGATGATCTGCCACAAGGTTGAAAGTGTCTGGAACATGACATGCCAGGAGACTTATCTCAAAAGTAGGACCAAAGTTCAACTGTAAAGAGAACAAGAATGAGTGCCACCTTGGTCATTGATATAAGCTACCATTGTAGAATTGTTGGTATGGATCATGACAAATCGATTCCTGACTACAGGAAAAAAGTGATCCAAAGCTCATTGTACCACCAAAAGCTCCAAGATGTTGATATGGTAAGATCACTCAGTCGTAGACCATTGTCTTACCCTGATCCTGTGTAATTGTGCTGACAGCAGGTGTTAGAACCTCCAGTATTAACTTTGGTATTCATCATAAAATGATGAAAATTATTCAAATAAAAAACAAGAATAACCAAAGTATGTAAAAAATAAAACAGCAGTAAAAGATATAAATGATCTTTCCACTTCATATGATAATACTGAAAAGAAAAATGCATGATGAGAGCACAATCAAAACATGTCTTGACTACAGCACTGCCTAACGAGAAATGATAGTTCGGCAGAATCAAATAAGGGGTAACGTGTCAGGAGGGTGTGTTGCACTCCTATTGGTGGAGGGTTGTTGCATGAAACATTTTTTTTTTCATATAGAGGGCAGCACTGAAGGACAATAGCTATATATGTGAGTAGAGGTATTTTTACCATATTGGAAATCACATTAGTAGGGGTTGGAGAAAGACAATTAATTGGATTATATGATCAGAGAAAGCAAAACATTGTTATTAATGAAGTCCAATCAAACTGGACCCTTGTTATGGAGTATCTCAAGGGTCAATGCTTGGACCTTTGGTCTTTAGAATTTACATTAAGTATATTAACATGGGCATAATTAGTAAACTTTGGTGATAATGTTAAATTCTTGCATATTTCTAGCTGTACTGAGGATGTTGAGGTACTACAGGATCACTTGAATAAACTATTAAGTTTGACATATATTTGGCAAATGACCTTAATTACAGTAAGTGCTAGGTAATTCATTTGGGTTATCATAATTTGATTCATGTGCTTAGTACAGGTAGGAACCAACTAATGAAAAGAATCTTGGTATAGTGGTAGATAAGAAACTCAAGCCATCAAAGCAGTGCTGTGTTACAAGTAGTAAAGTTAATAGAATCTTGAGTATATTTATAAATATACAAGTTAAAAGGCATAATTATCTCTCTATACAAATCACTAATCAGGCCTCACTTGGAATATTGTGTGAAGCTTTGATCTACTTATCTACCAAAGGATATTGACTTCTGTAAAGAATTCAGAGGACAACCAATATGATTTCGAGAATAGTTTAAGATTTCTTTAACTTAATTGCATTCCTCAGCAGGCTTGACTGAATTAACAAAAATATCCAAAGCTTCATAACAAATCTTCCTTTTCAGATTAGCCATCCGATTTTTCACTCTTGAAATCACTGGAAGCCAGCTTTTCTAAAATACTAATTGTATTAACTTCCCAACTAGTTTCCATAAAAGATAATTTTATAATCACCAGTGTTCTAGCATAATTAAACATCTAGCCATGTCCTCTTTAATAATAATAACAGCATATATCTAAAACAGCATATTCCTTAGTAGGATTTTTCATATGCAGAATGTGAAAACTAAGGTGCTTGTACATAATGTCAACAACTTGATTAAACAGCTAAAGAAAATGTCACTTAGTATTCATTTTATAAATTTGTTGTTTAATATCAATGATATCTCTTCTCTCATTAGTTTCAGCTCATTTTTACAAATAAGGTCACATCTTGCCCAAGATAACTTACCATCACCTCAACAAAAGCCTTTAAGTATAATATATTCCTATTTCTTAATCAGTAAGACAATAACACTCTGAAAAAAAATTTGCTTTCACATTCCATTCAAACAAGAGTATGTGTAAGAAATCCTCACAACTGAAAAGTGGTAAGTAAATAACTAGTGATCCTAGTGATCTTTTGTATTAAGAATTCATCTGGACGTTATCTGTTTGTTAATTCATTATGATTATTTAATTTGTAACTATTATAGCACGATATGGTCTGCACAATTATCTAATGGTCTGATTTGGGAGAACATTTAGATCAACTGAAACAATTAGATGATGCTTCTACTTCCTCCTCTTACAAATCATTTGAAATTTGATGTTCAACAATTTATCAGATTTTATATGGCTTACAAAGTTTCATTTGTTCCCATTACTACAGGAAATATATCAACTTTTGGGAAAGAGTGCATTTTGATGTTAAGATTTTTAGGAACTTTGGCATTCTTTATAAAAATTGTCTATGTTATTTATATGCTGCATTTTCCTTCAGGTCATTGCTAATATCACAGATAGAAATTGGGGCACCCCTTTACACTGAGTTAGCACTAGATGCTTGCCACTTTGCCAACTACAATTATTGTCACAAATTGCCAAGTAGAAAAGCTTGCTATTCACAACAGTGACAATGGAAATTTATTAACTACAGCGAATCATTGCAAAGTTTATCTTCTTTTTCACCTGTTTATTGCTTATATGGAAGTAAATAGCATAGTCTGTACCATAATTAATTTGCTTATAATTTTGGTGCATTTTCTTTATTTGCAAGCTCCAGTAATGCATTGAGAATGATCTAATTGAATAAATCATACTGTGTCTCCACTGACCTGATACATGGCACAGGAAAACTTATTCACTCAATCAGGAAATTACAGTTGTTGCCACAGGCACCAAAGATTTGCTAAGATGCAAGATAAAAAAAATGTTGCAAAAATTTTAACATTTTCAGAATGTGACATGATATACAATGCAGCTACTATAATTTACAACCAATAACTGTAGGCAGTGGCTATATTTACATTACTCTTACTGTGATTTCAATGGCCATATTTACAGCTTTACTGCTAAGCATGTGCAATCGTGTATTTTTGGAGTCTCGATCATAACCAGGCACTGCTGTAATAAAAGCTATCATTGGTTAGGTTATATCATTACTAAATAATTATTGATGGTTGGGTTATGGCATTCAGAACCATATATTAAACCTATTAACACTTGGAAATGTATTCTGATATTAATGTTTCAAATATAGCACTGGGTCAAGAACAAGGCCAGTATTAAAAGTGCCTCTCTATTTCACAGTATCCCTCCTATAACAATCTCACTATCTGTATAAGTACAGCATTAATAACATAAATACAGTGATTAAAAATATTACATTAACTTGATAAAGTTAGAAAGTATGTAGTGAAATGACCATATGGTAAAGGTAATACCACAGTTTATCTATCACACTACCCTATGTTTGTCTAACAGTTAGAATTAGATTACAAGGTTTTTCATTTTACCACTAGAATATTCATCTACATCTGGCTCTGGACTTTTAACATCTGGCTTCCTACTTCAATGTCTGTTACTAATGCAATACAATGACACACCCTCACAGCATACATTGATCAGAGCACCAAACAAAAAAAAAAGAACTGTATGATATTTGTTATTCAATTTTCTAAAATACAGCTTTTTACTTACAGAATAACTCAATTATAAATCTTTTGATTTTATATCCACTTTGTAGAAATTATAATAAAAACTATGAAATTACTCAGACTTTGGTCTCATATCTAATATATGTCATAAGAAAACATGCCATTCCAAAAGTACAGGTTATTGAAAGATGAGGTCAAAAGTTAAGTTGTTATACTTTGAGGTAAACAAATGTCCAAATAATGAAAGTATCTGTAGTGTAAACTCTCAGAATTTGTTAGACTAGTTCAACTTTAATACTTGATTAAAATAAGACAATTTTAATTTAAGATAACTTTGCTACTTATTATTAATGAAGGTACTACACAAATAAACTCACAATAAATTAAGTAAACATTACAATTAGTAATAACATTACTAGTAACAAATTTAATATATTAGATTATTACTAAAAGTAACACTAGTAACAATTAGTACTACTACTAAGTAGATATATTCACGTATGACTAAGACCAAGTCAAGTACATCAGTTCCTTAACATGATTCATTTAGTTTTTCAAGTTATTATTAATATTATATTTTTACATCTTGAACTCGAAGAAAATATGATTTAAATAATACAAAATAGCAACATCTTAGACTCAGAATCCAGTATCAGGGCAAGTAAGGCCTATTTAACTTAATATTTAAGCTTAACAGTTCATTCAACATGAACTTGGACAACTGGTGTACCTACTACTACTACTATTAATATTATTAATAATAGAGTATTAGAAATATTACTACTACTATTAATAGTAATAAAATATTATTATTAACAACATATTTTCTACTTACAAAACAACGGGAGGAAGTAACTACCACAAAATGAAAAGAGTGTACTATACGTAGTAAAACATGAAAGAAAGTTACCTTATAATGAAAAAATAAGATGGTGCAAAATTAGACTGGAATTAATAAAACGTGTAGCACTATGTTACACAGAAGGCTAATTTCTAAAACTTAGGCCTAAGCCTTGATAACTACTATTACTACCACACTTAACAAAATGGCGCGGCGGAAATGAACTTCTCAATTCATCTCGACCGAAACGCTATCTGTAAATATCATATCGATAACTCTAAAATATACATAAATATTCTGCATAAAACTAAAATCATTTAAATTATATTTTGTATCTATGATTGAAAAGCACTTAAAGTCAAATGTATAAAAAATTTATTGTGTGAAGTGTCACTCTGAAACGAATTACACAAATTGGGTTAGAGATTAGAAATCTAGTAGTTCATATTTTCACCAACAGACGCCCCTGTATGTATATTTTCCAAGAACTTATAGAAGAATATATAATACCTCAACCACACAACATCTGCTATATGACAACTGCAGTGCTCACTGGCATATGACAGACATACAATGGTTGACACTGTTTATATTATCAGATTGCATGAACAGCAACTGTAATGATATATACTAATTCAAGTTGATAAAGTGTAATCTTATCAATTTCATGACTCATTTAAGAATCAGAAATTAGACTACGGATTAATAACATAATATTACTTATTGTTAGTATATATTTTTACATGAATTAACTATACTCGTCATTCAGAAGAACTGGCGAACCAGTAACTTAGTCCTTTTGTTCCCAGAGCAGGTCAAGACTATATTAATAATTCTGAGAAATTATTAATGATATTAAAATAATATATAACAGTGTTCTAAACACACTGTATCTGCTTTATCCAATGTCGACGATACCTTTCGCCCATTACCAGGGGTCAGCTGGGATACGACAGTCACAGTACTTTCATTGATAAGTTCTTAGAATTATCAATGTTACTTTCTTCCATTGATGCTGTGTTTGCTTACGTGCTGCAGGGGAAATAATATTAGCTTGGGTTAAAGATTAGAAATAGAATAATTCATATTTCCACCAATAGTAAAAATTACAATTAGTAATAGTGTCAAATTCTAATACATTATTAAAAGCAACACTTGGGTAATAAATTAGAAATCAAATATTTCATATTTTCACCAACATATATATTACTATTTTTATTACGTTAAGTTCATACACAGCATGGTCACAAGTAAATAGACACCACCTTTTCAGAAAAAAAATGAAAATTTTCAGTCATATTCAC